CTCTCTCTCTCTCTCTCTCTCTCTCTCTCTCTCTCTCTCTCTCTCTCGCTCCCTCGCTCTCTCTTTGGACTGGTATAACTAAACCAGTTCAAAATTTCTTGGCGATCAAGAATGCATATATTTTCATAGGACTCTAACATGATTGGTCAACACAAGACAATTAGGATGATGGTAATGTTGATCCTGTTCTGCACTACTCCCTAAAAATCGTAAAGCTTGCTTTGCTCATAATGCAATGTTTGAGATTTACATCCACCTTTTCAATGTTTACCTCCTAATCTAAATCAACATGATGTTTAAATTACGATTGGTTGACGCTAACAATTCTTTTTCAGGTTTTTAAGTTTTTTAAGAACTGTGTCCGCCAATTCTAAAATCTAGCCACTGAGAAAAATGCTTCATTCAAGTCAAATTTCAAACGTGATAACGGATCATCTACTAAGAATCTATTTAAAATCTTGTCAGAAATGATCAGGAAAAGACATTTCATAAGTAGTTTTCTACATATATTTTACAAATCTATTTTATAATATTTTAATTTGTAATCAAAAATGTTTTGTATTTGTGAGAGCGAACAATGTTGAGTACTTACAATTGCGTTGGGTACTAGTGATTGTGCCAAATTTATCGCTTTTGTTGCATCTGTAACTCCCGGTATGCTATCACTGCTTTCCGGACGGCCTTCTATACGGTTAATGCACGAGAAGAATAGACAAACTATAAACAAAAATATCACTTTCTTATTGGTAAGTAAACGGAATTTTTCAGCTTGTTTTTGATTCGGATGATTACTATTGTTTTGCTTAAAGAAACGTGGATCATTAGGCTTAATGGTGTTTCTATCACAATATTCAACAAATGCCAGCCAAAATTTTCCAAATTGAACACGCATACTTGCCACGATATCGCAATCATTAAAATATCTCGTTGAACAGCTGGATTGTTTTAAATTTTTATTTACATTGGACGTAGATGTGATAGCATTAATTGCAGTAATAGTAGTAGCAGCAGTATTGGTAATAGTAGTAGTAGTAATAGTAGCAGTAGCAGCAGTAGTAATAGTAGTAGTAGTAGTAATAGTACTAATAGGAGAGGAAGATGTTAGAGTGCTTTTTGGTACGGCAGAGCAGCATAGTTCTTTAACATTTTTTGTTGTTATCCGTTTACGTTTTACTAAATTTACATTTTCCATTTCACTTAAATTATTTGTGATTGTTTCATCATCATCATCATCATCATCATCATCACCATCATAATAATTATCATTATTATTATAATTATAATTATAATTATTTACTAATATACTAACATTCTCAATTGCCCGTTCATTGCCATCATCCTTCTTATCATTACTAACGACGTTATCGTTTGTATGTTTATTAAATAAAATTTTACTAAAGTTTTCAGCACCATTCAAAATCTTTGTTGTTTTTGTTTTTGTTGTTGTTGTTGTTTTTGCTATTGCATTTGTAACAACATTATCTTCATAATTATTCTTAAAGCATTTATTTTCACAGCATTTTTGTTCATCCATTTCATTAATGGATACTGGCAGCAGCGACCTATTGTTGCACCAGCAAGCCCTTCTGGCCAAATTCATTTCCTGCGCTAACGAAGGCGAAGCACGACTTTCAGTATCATTTCCTTTTGCTATTCGCATATTCCCCAACACCAATGATCTATTATTCACATCCGGGCTAATGATGAAGGAATTTTCCTCTAACTTTTGCTCTTGCTTGCGCTTTATGGATGTTGCTTTAAGGAATTCGTTGCTTTGCTGGCCAAAAAACTCATTTGAGTTGTTATAATTTTTTAGATGGCCGGCAAACATAATTGCCGTGCGCACTGGCCTTCTCCTAACTGGCTTCCTCCTCTTAGCAGGATTAATGTATATGGGGTATGTTAAAAAAAAAATTTAGAAGGAAATTTTCGTTTTTAGTATTCCGCTAACATTTGTGACATTTTTTTTTTTTCTTTTTCTTGTTTTTTTTTTTTTTTTTTAAATATTTTATTAAGTATAATATCGGGTGGTTTGTTGTTTATTAAGTACTCGGTGTTGAATTTTGTTTGGAATTCTGAAAAGATGGAAAAAAACAAAATAAATGAGTGTTTATTTAAAAACAAAAAAAAAAAACGCCGTTATTTCTGTGTAAAAATATGATTAAAATTTCACTTTAAATTTCATTAGTTGAAATGATTTTATTTAGACTCAAAGGCTGAATAACTACATAGTAAAACACGAAATATCATAAAATGATGTTTTTTTTTTTTTTTTTTTTGAAACATAGTTGACCCAAATATCGGCACAAGAGTTATTAACAATAATCAAAGTTTGAAAAGTTTTATTGCTTTGATTGGAACTTTTCCTATATTTCAATAGCATTATGTTATAATCAAAATTTACAATTTTAGGGTATCAGGGTATCCGATTTACTTATCTTTCCCGTAAGACGGAAAGATAATTTTACATTCAATTGTTTTCTCGCCTTTTCTTTACAGTTCTACCGCTTATATACAAGTAAAGACGAAAAACCATTCAAAATAATTTTCTTACAATATCGTTCGAACAATATTTCTGAATTATTTCTGAAAAAAATATAACTTGGAAAATTTTAATAAAAACATTTTTGTAATAATAATTTTTGGAAAATTGTTTGTGAAAACAAGAAAAGTGTATTTGCTTGTTTGGAAGACATTCGACGACAGTCGAATTTGATAAATTTAATCTCTCAGCGATCTGACAAATTGTTATTCGTCGGTTTGCATCAATTAATCCCTTTATTTTGTCCTCATCAGTTTCAATTGACCAACTCAATACCACGAAATGATACCTCGGGACTCGGAAGTCAATACAAAATTATATGCAAGCAAGAGTCAGGTAAGCGAGGCAGTCGATGTATGAGAGCCGTGCAAGATCGCCGAGAGACAGGGAAGAGACAGACGAGGCAAAGAATAGACAAATAGCCGATGGCAGACAGAGGAGAGGCAGACTAGAGATAGAGAAGAGACAGATCAGGCAGACAATAGACGGGCGAGAGACAGGCGGAAGATAGAGACACACAAGAGACAAACAAGCGGGACAGGAGGCAGGCGGGTTAGAGAAGCAACAAGCGAGACAGGCGGGACAGGCAAGAGTCCGGAAATGGTATTTATTAGACTTAAAGTGAGAGAAATTCGAATTTCTACAAGTTCTCGTATTCTAATCATGGTGCCCCATGGAGTGGACCAGACAATACATAATTACTGCTCTTAATTCTTACGATTGGTATGAAAAAACAATGTTTGCGGACTCAAAATGTTATGCTGACGAGGAATACATTTCTTTTATGAGTTTTATGAAAGCTATTTTTGACTTTTCGAGTCTTATAGAGGAATATAATTCTATTAACTAGAAATCTTATGCGAATTAACAAACAATATAAATTTCTCATGTTTACGAAGAGATTATGCCTCTCGACATGCTTCCACCTGCTACCGTATAATACGCATATGCAATTAAAAAAGAAAAAATTATTTAAATAATAAAAAAAATATGATATCAAGAATAAACACACAACTATTCAATGACTAAGGGTACAGCGGGAGAATTCATGATATCATTATCTAAATAAGAGATATTGTTTATTTACTTAGGCCAAAATAAGAATTTTTTTTGAAATATGCTTTTACGCAAACGATAGGAAATTAACTCTTCCTTCCCCCCTTCATCCAGCATTATACAAGACAATACCTTTCGCTTTGTCAGATATGGAAGGCGTAATAATGGTTATTGCAGAACCGACAGACTGTATATATTTACGAACGGCGTAGAAAGTAGATCATATTGACTTAAGTCGACCGTTAATGAGTTTATTTATTGAAAATTATTATGATCCTTAAAATACAGAAAAATTAACTGAATGTGTTATAAAATTAATCGCTCCATAAGTTCATTTATAATTAGCAGAAACCATATTTTTTTCGGAATAAGTGCATTGGTCTTAGTTTACGTGGACATTACAACAGTTCTATCATGCTTTCAACAAGCCACATACAGTTTTTTGTCGACATATTTGCGTTATATGTATAAAAAAAAAAAAAAATCGTCTGACGTGTAAATGTTGAATAGACCTTTGAAAACATACCATCAAAAGATGAATTCACGCTGTCTCCATATAGATTGCCCTATGGGTAAATTTAGTTCGACCGCTTTGATGCTTTTGCTTATGATTAATTTTAAATATTTCTTACTTTCCAGCAGTTCCTGGTCGATCTGTCTGTTAGCCAAACTATGCCAAAGGAGAAAACGTCGCCCACAAAATTTTGCAAAAATATTCGAAAATGGCCCAAACAGATCAAGGAACATGCCTGCAACGCCCACACATGTAAGTGACCAGAACAGAGAATACTTTTGCCATTTGCGTATGTGGACTGTTTCCCCTAAACTATAATAGACGATAGACGATATAAATTTCCACAAAATTACTCTTCAAAAATCGGACAAATCAGCCACGCCCTCCCAATATTGCAGATTGATATTTTTCCTGTTTTTCAATCTTTGTTAGAATATCAGTGACGATGATATATTGATTAATATTCCGGAATATCTATCAATTGAATACTTGATGCGTTATTGCTAGACAACAGACCAAAGAAAAGTTAATTTTCAGAAGGTATTAACCGGTATAAAAGATTCGATCGCAACCGAATACATGCTTTTATTTTCCAGCTAATCAACTGGTTATATATTTCCATATGTGCATATTCCTCTATCACACCTTATTAATAGCAATATGGTTTTATTGGATATTGGATACTTGAAGTTGTCAATTTCTTAAAAAGCCATTCAGTATATATTTGAAATTCAATTATCAAAGTTAATATTGCTTATACATTGATAATTAATATTAATTTTAATTAATCAATATCATGTCATTCGATTTATAGAAGATAGTCATGTCTTTAAAATCAGTCGAAAGCAATAGTTCAGATCTAGTATGAATGAAAATGAAAAGCACTTATGTTCCTATATAACCAGAACTGACAAATTCATATTACCGGTGCTGACTTAAAAAAAAAACCTTGAGCCATTTATTATTGCAACGTTTCACTTTTCACATCAAATCATCAATTCAAAACCTTATTTATAACTATATATACACGTACATATACATACATATAAATACTTACATACATAAGTACATATTTACATATACTAAGTATATATATATATATATATATTCATTTCATTATCAAAAGCATTCCTATTTTCACGGTTAACATAATAATTGAATCACTGAAGACCACTTCAAGTTAACTGATTACGTTTTTATCGCGGCAATATAATATAATGTATAACCATTAATTTCATTGATTGCTTATCATATCAAAACTTTTCACAAATTAGAACACATAATATTTACTCAAAATAAAAAAAGACTCCGCCGCATAGTAAGAGGTTTACAACATATCGCGATTCGTTATATGTTACATTTTGTTGCATTTTAAGATATTCTTGAAAATAAAATAATTAATTTTTTCTAGTAAGTACCGCTCGACTACTTACTAAATACAGTAGTAACTGCTATTGTATGCTTTGAACAATTAATTCGATTTCTTCTTCTTTTAGCCTTATTTTAAAAATATGATAATCATTATCGAAATTTTATTCAATGGGTAAAAGTCAAATATGAATTGAACTTATAATCATATGAAAATTATTTACTCTTTTTGATAAAATTTTTATAAATATAATAATAAAGGCAGGCGGTGCAATAAGACTTTTCCAACGACTTTTATATCGCGTTTTATTTTTAATCAATTAAATTGATTATTACTGGTGCGTCCAGCTCCGAATATCATTGAATGCGCGTCATTGAATGCATTAGATACTCTCAAAATTTACCAAAGGTTATAAGTATAAAAGTTATAAATAAATTTATTTTTTTTATGTTTAATAGTAAGATTTATTGGAAACGTTAAAATTTTTTATGTATAACAATATAATTTAACATCTTTGAACACACATACTTATTAACATTGTAACTTTTAATTAATCTTTTTCTAATTTTTATAATTAATGTTACCACATAGAGTTAATTAATTGCAAAAATTAAAATGATTATTTGAATTCACCTTATATATATAAACACATTTTTTTTTTTTATGTAATGAGTATAAGAAAAAGATCGTTTTTCCAACTATATATCCCTAATGATTATAAGCAAAAGAATGTATTCCAGGTCAGCTTTTTCTCCTTTAATCCTGACTTTCATATCTATTTTTTTTTTTATGAAAATTCTACAGATTCCTTTTATTGAATCACTCTACTTTACGGCGAGCAAGTCTTGTTGCTTTTGATGCGTCTTTACATTATATGCGTATTGATCCAGAGTATGTTCCGATCCGGACCATTTTCACAAGCGTTCGTCCTTGAAATATCATAAAAATATCTCAAAATTTACAGTTTGTACGTTAAATACAAAAAATATAAGATGAACAGACGGACAGACAAACGTAAATCGTTTCAGAATTACCTTCGGAATAAAATGTGAATCTACCTCAAGTCCTTCTGAGTGTACCATATATCCGTGTAAACTTCATTTAGTCTTGTACCACAAGGCATAAAAAGCATTGACGAGAAAGGTTTAATAAAATCGGTCTTTGACTGATATTTAGCGAGTAAGGCACCTATCTCATTAATAGCTTCATCATTTTCAAGTACTAATTCAATTCAAAGGCTCATAAATCCACTGCCGAAAATTGAAAATCTTCCAAAATTAAACGCAACTTGCAGTTCGTGGATGCCACCAACCTAAAGTATAATTTTTTTTACCCAATTATATGAACTAAACTATTTACCGGATCGGCTTGGAGTGTATGGTGTTTTCACATGTTCAACTGAAGTTGTTAGAAACGATGCGTATTTAACGTAAGACTACGAAGCTTCTAAACTGGTTTATACGTTGGTTAATATTTTGCAAGGTTTGAAAATTTTAATTATAATCCAATCGGATAGATAGAAATAACGAAACAATTCCTATGTCATTAACCGAGAGGTAACAATGTTAAGAATCGTCCTTGCCTGATAACAGGTTGAGTTAGTTAACATTCGATAAAGGCGATCTTATCACCTTATAGTCATAAAAATTTCTTCTAAATTTTGTTATAAATTTATGTATTTAATTTTTAAATCACCATTGAAGATTTATAACATTCGTTATATAAATTTTTAAAATTTACAGTCTTTAGTTTTTTTTTCTTATTTTTTTTTTTATTTTTATTTTTTTTTTGTCAACACACGACTATTTTCATATAATTTTGCAATATACCAGAATCCAGCGATAAGAAAACGTATTCGTTATAATTTATAATTTAAAAAAAAAAAAATTTCTTATCGAAATTTTGTCATGTGCGATTTTTATAAGTTTTACACAATTATACTAAACTTATTTTAATACATATTCGTCTGTAATGTAACATGTGACAGATAAATAATACAATATAAGTGACTTTGCTTTTGCTCTAATAATAATTTTTGCATATGTTTCAAAATTTCTCTGACTACTCATATATGTATATAAGCACTCTTGTCAAAACATTTCCCCCGATGTAAAAAAGTGCGATTAACTCTAACTCTTAATCTTAGCGCACGTAGTAGAAGGACTCTATAATAATTTGTTACTTCTGCCATTTGAAAAGTGACTGTTAATAACAAGATGTTGCGAAAAGCATGTTTAAAAGACACAAAACCCCAACAAGTCTTGAAAAAGTTCCAACATTTTTATATAACATTTAAGAAGAAAAGTTTTTTTCACAAACTCATCAGATATTATTATAGCTTACGCTATTCGAAATTTGTACGAAGCAGAAGAACATAACATGGATACGTGTTTTATTATAGCGATCAATTCGGAAGCACTCTCTAAATCGATTTAAGCTTGTCTGTCCGTCTGTCCGTCGAGTATTTTTGTTTTCCGTCGTAGATTTCCGAGTTATCTTGATGCAATTTTGTACATTGTCTTATGCTGGCCCAAGCGACTGAAAATGATTTAGAACCGACAACTTTCTCAACCACTTCTCATGTAGCAACTTATTTTGAAAAGTCTATATTTAATGTATTTAATGGCGGTTTCCCAAAATAATTTTTTTACTTGCTATTCAATGACCTTACCTTAAACAAATTGTTTTGCAGCTACAAACGAACTTTTCTCATAAATCAGTGACTGTATTCACTTAATCGTAGGTAGAATGTTGGTTGTTATCGCTGTTTATAACTTAAAACAAATCTTTATTGCTAAATTGTTAAATGATGGCTCTGACGAGCATTCGAGACATTAATAAAAATACGCTGTAAACTGCTTTGGCTGGATAATACTCAAATTCCGAAAAATACGCTAATATCTAACACGAGGGCATGCAGCAATCTAACGGTTTTATTTTTCAAATAAATATTCATAACAGTTGTTTAAAAAACTATATTACATGATTATATGTGTATTGCTGTCCTCTTACTTGGAGACATTCAGTTTGATGTAAGCGTTTACCTGCAAATTTCTGACAAAAAATGCAAATGAGATAAACAAAGCTGTTCGTTCGGCTTCTTTGTAATTTCTTTTGCTGAAGCCGCTGAGCGCACACCTGTTATTTAACCTAATTATGGGCAAATATTAGGTTTTTAACTAAATATTTGCAACTTCGATATTTCTAATAATAGCTGACAAGGTGGAGATAGAATAAGGGTATATAAATGAAATAGTTAAGAATGACAAAGTGATTACGAATATATTCGTATACGCTATTGAAAGTCTGGTTCTGGCTAATGCAAACGACGTCACACAATATGCATAAATCTTTATTTTGAGATATATTCACGATAATGCAAATTTAAGATATTTAGAAGAGAATAAAGTAAAGTAAATGTAAACTAACTTTCACTTACCGCTTCTTGTTAATTTATTTCATTCTTTATTACATAAGCATTTTTATACTCCGAAGGACGGAGGATATATTCGTTTTGTCAAAACGTTTACACCGCCCAGAAAGAAAATCCAGAAAATCCCCAAATAATATATATTCCGGATTAGCTTTATATTCTACATCGGTTTAAACATGTCCCTTTGTCCGTCTGTTTAATGTCTGTTGTAAACATTTTCCCGTTCGCAAAAATGAAGATCACGCTTACAAACTTGTTTAAGTATTTGAAAATGCCTTATGAAGGAACACGCCTACAACACGCCCTCACGTCGTTTTAACAAATACCTTCTATAAATACCTTCTCTTTCCGGGTTTATTGCTTGTTACTCATAAATTACAACTCATAGACGATATAGATTTCCACTTTTATTTTCAAAATAAGGCAAATCCGTCACACCCTCCCGACATTATAGATCTTTTTATATAAAAGATTCGGTCAAACCCATTTTTATAATTTTGCTACTTGTTTCAAATTGAGAATTTTCCATTGATAGATGAGAGCGAACGATACTACAATTGGAGATTGCCAACGACTTGATTTAATTTCTTATTGATTGGCTCCGTACTTTGTAAAGACAAATAGTTTTAGAGATTTTTGAGTGAATGAAATCTTATCGTGAATGAGATTTAATGTTGAATTTTTATATATAAGTTTTTCAAGCCCAAAATTTCCTATATCGCGAAAGTGCCCCCCAAAGTTCTTATATAAACATATTTTAAATGAAATGTTTTTTTTTCCAGCAATAACAACTGTTTTGCATGCTACACGTTAAGCATGTGTGATTCGATGGTTAAACTCTTAAAGTCGTTAGATTCAGAATTTGATGCTGATTCGGAATTTAATGCTGATCAGGCATATATGTACTTTGTGAGGTCTTTAATGTTTACGTGAGGGTGCTGCAAACGAATACAGCCCTCATCCTTTGGGGATGATTATAGGAAGTGATTTTTTAGATGGTTGATCAAGGGATGGCTCAGGTTTGTCATTGCATTAAATGAGCCTCGAAAGTTCAATGAAGTGACAACTGGACAACTTTGTCTTACGTTGTTGAACGAATATTCCCGATTGCCAAAATTGATTGATTGATGTGGAGAAAATTAACAGATACGTTCTTCGTAGTTCACGTTTGTACATTGATTTTAAAAATGAACGCAATTCGTTCAAAAATATTTTTGGAAATAATGCACTTGTTGTTGCTATTATTAGAAGCGTTAAAAAGTATGTTTAGATATCAACATTATTAAACAATAATTTCGCAATCGTGTTTGGCGTCTTAGATTTTTGTTGCAAAAATTGTAAATTTTCCAATTTTAAAGTAAAACTTATATGACCTTCCAAGAAGGTCATTATTTAAATATCACCTTTATCTTACTTCCGAGAACGATATCTCTTCAAATCTGTAGATTTTCGTTGAAAGTGACCTTCAAAGGGATCTCCTTACGACTTTTCCGCGCGGAATATTCTTTTCAGCATAAGCGCATTCGTTCATTTAAAGACTTGTTTAAAGGTCTCACTTAAAACGAGACTTGAATTCATTTACGGATTTTATTTTGGAAAGGCTTCAGAAACAAACAATACTGTTTATAAACTCCACCAATCTAACACATACATTCAAACCACAATTTCAAAATGTATTTTTATTTTTAAATTTAAATTTATTTTCACTATATGTCACCGCCTTGAAGCCAGAATGTCCGCGCAATAACTAGATACTTCAGGAATGAACTTAAAAAAAAACAATCAATGCACACTTATTTCAACGCGCATCACTTACTCTCCGATTCGACTAAATGCAATGAAAAAGTACGTTCAAATGAATTTTGAAACGAGTTAAACCGAATTATAGGTAAGGTCAGGTTTATAAATGTAATTCAATAAAAAAAAAGAAAAAAAAAAAAAAAAAAAAAACAAATAAATAAATCCATGTAAACAAAAATATTATAAAAAATAAATATAAGCTTTAACAAAGTTAAGATGAAAGATTAAAAAATCTTTTCAACAGTAAGTTGTATCAATGTTGACGAAACGTACAGCATCTCCTTACTTCATGCCTTGCCTCGCAATTATGTAAGTAATTCAAACAGTCGCTTAAATATCATTTTTATCTAACTACGAGAATATTGCATTATTTTTATATTTATATTTATCAGGCACAAGAGTCTAGAGTAATATGTATATTTTGTAATTGCTCTCTTATAAAGAAAGCCATAAACTATTTTACAAAACGCGATAAGGTGGTATACGAATATAACGTAAATATGAGCCTTGTTACATAAAAGCACGTGAGAAATTTATATTCACCGTAGAGAGAATGTACTGATTGATCAACTAATTAACTTATTATAATGTTTTGGTAATAAGACTCATTCCATAGATATAATGTGCATAGCCCGTCCATAGGCATAAAATATAAGAAATAGTTACAGCGATTGATTTTCCTTACTTTGGTTTTTTTTTTTTTTTTTTTTTGTGTACATAACACAGCAGATCCGCCTCAAAATATAATATATAATATATATTTTGTGTCGTTGCATATATATAAATATATATCAGCATTAAACACTATTTACTCTGTAGGGCGCCAGGAGCGATCTCAAGACAATGACAAACATTTCATCAAGATTTTGGATTATCGCAATTGCAATAATGAAGTTAGCATACCCAACGTCTCCGACAGGATGTGCAATTAGACAAAACTAATAGAAAATAAAACAGCGCAACATGTACTTGTGTCAACGAAAAGAGATAAAATTTGTTAAATCATTACAAGCGATAATAAAGCAATTAGATACAATAGTTATCTAAAAAGAAAGAGGAAGAGTACTGCGCCAAATGTTCAACGAAATGGAAACTTTATTCATTTCATATTAGCAGCATTTTCTTACTTTTAGGAAAATTTGCAATCAATCAAATGTTTTCGGTTTGCAAGAGATTCAAATAAATTAACTATATATATATATATATATATATATATATACTATTGCTATGTTCAAAAATGAGCGAAATTTACATTTTAGAGATGCGCATGGCACACAGTTGCCTGGCAAATGTTTCATGTCATTCAAGCGTCTTTTTGGCTATATCGTTCAAGGTAATATGGAAATATGGAAAGACAAACATAATCGCTCCGAACTATTTCAGACTAAAATTACGCGTGAATTCTGAATCAATCGCTATAATGAAAGGTGGATCTATCTTAAGCCCTTCCGAGTATGACATACGTTAACCTTGCTTAAATTTTGGAACACTTTGTATAGCATTGCGTAATCGATTTATTGAAATCACTTTTATCTCAATGCTTACGTCACAATTTTGCAATTTGGAAACAAACAAGATAAGCCGATAGAGGGAAAGCCGCGTCCGCATCTCATTGTCATTGCAATTATGTATATCTTATGAAATTGGAACTGCGTAGTCTTTTGAATATATTTATAGTTGAGTTTCTTTTCAGAGCTCTGTACAGGGAGTTGCATTACGAAATAAAAAGTCGATTCAATTCAAACAATTATTATTTCCAAAAAGAGTTTACTTTCGCAAAACGATACAACAATAGATCAATGTGATGCAAGTTCAATTCTGATTTTTCAAATAAAATAAAAAAAAAATTTTTAATTCACTAAATAATTCTTAATTTCTTAATGGATTTTGTTCTACTTTCTCTACCACAATAATTTTTTCATATTTTCCGCATATTTCTCCTCCTTTACGTTATTAGCTCGCAAAGGGTGTTAAGGATGCGTTTTTGTCGTCCATTGCAGGTAAAAATAATGCGTACCGGAACTAAATATTAGGCGGTTAGATATAAAAAGAAAACCGTTACACTCTGTAAATTAACAATGAAAACTGTAATGGAACTGATCGCTGCTGAAGCGAAGGATCGACTAAAAGCTAGTCACATACGAAAATAATGCGCAAGAGAGGTTGTGATCCAAAGTACATTAAACGGATGCGTCTTTGGTGGCATTAGAAAATATTCATGCAATCGCTTTGCCACAAGCTGGCCCAAACATTAGTTCCACTTTTCATTACGAAAAACCTATTGAAAAAGCTATTGAAAAGTGCGCCTTTGCCAGATAACGTGCGTATTTAATAACTTGGCTTGGCTAGAAAGTTCTGGGTTCTCAGCTGAATTCTCTTAAAGGCTTACACCTGACTTAAAGGGCCTGTAAAAAAATCAATTAGTTCGATTTTCCATCCAGCAATTTTCCAGGTCTGCATTGACCAGAAAAACGGAAAGAGCTTATTTGAAAAAGCGTTCGCATTTGGCCACAAAATGAGCAACAGGTTGAGTGAATAGGATTTGAGGAGGTTGAGGTGAAGTAACGGTGAAATGGACATGCAAAAAATAAATTTTTTCCAGCAAATTTGAAAAAAATTTTTTGTTTTCAGGCCATTTTAGCTATTCGAGGCCATTGTTGACAATTAATTAATAATTTGTTACAATTAATTAATAATTAAAATTTTTTATTTATTGTCAACGAATCGGTTTCACTTTAAAACCTGAGTTATGGGTGATTGGTCATCGTTGAAGAATTTCTGTTCGAAATCTTGATTGTTCTCGTAGCAAAAAGCATATAGAGGGGGATGGCGAGAACGAGCATGTTTAAATTGACCATGAATTTTACGCTGATCGTCTATATACTTTACGAAATAATTGATGGATATTTCTAGGTCTGGCCGACGGAAATGTGTTTGTTACAAACGTCCACTTGCCGATAGTCGTCGCTGTAGGCAGCCGATGATTTGTGGGTCTCAAAATATTCAACGATAGCGCGTCTGTAACTTATTTGCTTTGCATTTTTTTTGAAGACATACACACATACGTATGCATATAGTTTTACCACCAATGACATAGAGAGTTTTTTTTTTTTTTTATATTTATTATTATCATAATTTTTTTCTTTATTATTGCATTTACATCGTATATATTTTGAGGTGCAAATAAAATTTCAAAATTATTATTAAAAAAAAAAGAAAATTATTTTTCATTAAATAAATAAATTATAAAGCAATAAATCGCTTCACAATTGTTTTGAAAATATTTTCATAATTTTGACCTTTTTTGGTTTAAACTTACTTTATAATTATGAAAAAAAAAAAATAAATCATTTACACATTCATGCACATACACAAGCAAACACACACATACATACATACATTTGAGGTTTTGGTCAATGTGAAAATATTTTATATTTATTTATATTTTAGTAAATTTCAATTTTTGGCATTTTTCCCATATTTTGGTTTTTGCGCTTTGAAATCTTTCAAAAATGTAAATATTGTTTTATCGATTTTTCTGAAATTAAATCCATTATACTTTTATTGTTTATTATGCAATCGTTTCACTATCTTCAGTTTAACAATTAAAATTCATTAAGAACGAAAGGGGAAAATACATAAAATTAATGCCGCTTCATATATAAAAAGCTTAAGTTGAGGAAAAAATTCATTCATCAATTCAACGTTTCGATGACTAAAAAAATGATGATTAAAAAAAAAATAATGAAGTGATAGTAATCAGACGCTAAGGCAACAATAACAAGGCAACATTCAGCATAGCTTTTAAAGAGAAATGTCAAAAATTTCCCGTAAAAAAAGATTTGAAAGGCTTGCGAAGGCAATGCCGTCATCGTAAGACACGCCTTTATCAATAAGAGGTAGCTTTAACAACTGAAAAGTCTGTTGTGCACTTTCAACGACTGAAGCTGTGATACTCAATTACGAAATATGCTCGGTGAAGTGTATGCCCTCGTAGACGATCAAAAACTATGAATCGGCGAGAACGTGCTTCCGACTACTTTAGGAATTATCAAGACGACAAAAATTCAGATAAAAGTAGGGAAGTCGGCTCTATCTCAGTCGAAAACCTACACTTCGAAAATCGAAACACCTACACTTGGGGTGGCAAATATATTATTACGAAAATAACCTCTTTGTTATGTTTACATTTCTGCTCAACTCCTTTTGAGTTTAGGTTCGTACCATTGAATTGTGATTTCTTAGGAGATTTTTACGAAGGTTTTATTTACAATTCTTAGGAAAACTATTTGTAAATTGTTTACAGGACTTGTGTCCAAAATATAAGAACAATTAAATTTTTTTTTTTTTTTTTTTTTGTATCCATTATTCCAAATCTATTTGAAAATAAGTCTCAAAAGCAAAGAGTGTTCCTTTTTTCTTCTTCAAATCTATTTATTATTCCAAATTCATGTCGTCGCCTGCAAAATAATCTTCAAAATGTAATAATATTCCTTCCAACACGATAATCGAAGAAAACTGTTAACATCATCTTGACTTTTGAGCAACTTTGGCGAGGGTTTTTCGGTCTTGACTCATGATCGATGTTCGCTTTTTTGACCCACTGTTTCCGCAATAATGAGTGTCATGACATCCTGGTTTCAAAAATCGTTGTTTCACAAGCTATAATAAAAATTGGAAAAAATACTTTTTGTGTTGAACAACATCAAACGCAGCTGAAGCGCTAATGACGTTTATGATATGAAATTTGACACAGACTTCGGTCACAGAATATTTCTGATATGTCCCCGCGTCATTTAACTTGAAATGTTTTTGATCACAGTATTTAACTAAGAATGCCTTTTCGGTCCTTGTCCATTCAAACTCGTGACTAGGGTATATACCCTTTTATAAGCAAATTATTAAAACCTAATTTCAATCTCACATTTTCGTATTAATTCCTTTACTTGTGAATCTTTTCGGCAATCGCCAACAGCATAAAGCTAGGGTTCAGTTTAAGAAGATCGGTTGGTTTTCACGTACGCTCATTTTATCAACGTATGTAGGTCGTAACACTGGATAAAAATATAAACGTACTTT